GAGCCCGACGTGATCATCCCGACGTGATCACATATCCCGACCAATAACAAGTATTGAATTGGTGAGCCTGTTCCATTTTATATTTGTTTATTGTTTTCATTTCGATAACATTTATATATCCATTTACTACACTTTCTCATGTCCGACCACACTCCCAAGCTTATTCGTATTAAGCCGACTACGAACACGATCCAACTCGTGCCATATTGGCCAGACAATGCAGAAACATGGTTTCTGTATGCCGAGGCAGATTTTCGAGAACAGGGTGTCTCAGATCCTCATTCTCGATTTCTTGCTGTCATACGTCACTACCGCGAGAATTAAACAGGTATGTTACAGCAAACATGTTTAATCCTGAAGTAAGTGACCCTTATGCACTTCTAAAGGCCGCACTCTTGAAGAAAAGCGATCTCACAGATCGCCAACGTCTAGACGAATTGCTTCGTAACATCGAGCTAGGCAGCCACTCAGCTACTGAAGTCCTCGCACGCATGCGAGAAGTAATCGGTGCACGAACATTTGACGATGGTTTCTTCCGAGAACTATTTCTCTCGAAACTACCACAACCGGTGCAAACCGTGTTGGTGACACTCCAGTCAGTCCCACTCGACGACCTGGCAGCCTCAGCAGATAAAATACTGGAGATATCCAGCAGACCAGTCTCCAACGTATATTCTATCTGCGACAAAACAGAGCGCCAGGATTCAGAGGTGACCAAGTTGTGCAACTCTGTGAGACGGTTGCTACGATCTCGAAGTCCTAGATCACGTAGCACTTCACGGAAACGCACCTTGGCGCATCGCAGCAAGTCGCGTGGTAGCCCTAAAACGAAACCCAACAGGGTGGAAAACCCTGAATGGTGCTGGTTTCATAACACTTACGGGGATGAAGCCAGAAAATGTCGTAAACCATGCCGTTTTAAGAAGGACCCGAACTCGGGAAACGGTCACGCCGGCACGTGCTCACGGCAACCGTAGCCGGCGGAAAAAGCCGTTTGCTCTACGTCACGATTAAAACGAAAGTCCGCTACCTCGTCGACACCGGCGCAGAAGTTAGCGTTCTTCCAGCAACGACAAAGGAGCGTCATCTTGACCCATCCTTCAATCTTCAAGCAGCCAACGGCAAGGCAATCGCGACATTCGGGAGACGGTATGCCTACCTCAACTTAGGTTTACGCAAACCTATCCACTGGATTTTCCTCCTGGCAGACGTCTCTATGCCCATCATTGGCATAGATTTGCTAAACCATTACGATCTACTCGTAGATGCTCGCCGTCGACGACTGATAGATAACAGCACAAAGTTATCCATTGGCGGCACCACCTATGTAGGTCCGAGTTTAGCCATCGTTAGGACTAAACAATCAGACGACGCGTCCTACCAGGCAGTTCTGGAGAAATATCCAGAGTTACAGCAACCGAAGCACACTCTTCCGTGCATAACCAGCAATGTTATGCATCACGTCACAACCACAGGTCCACCTGTGGCATCCAAAGCGCGCCGTCTAGCCCCCGATAAGCTCCAAACGGCGAAAAATGAATTCGACCACATGCTCGACCTGGGCATTATCAGACCGTCGAACAATCCTTGGGCATCGCCATTGCACATGGTTCCCAAAAGGATAGCAGTGACTGGCGTCCAACCGGTGATTACCGAAGGCTCAACGCCAAAACAACTCCGGACTCCTACCCGATACATCAATACAAACCCTCGTATACTTTGCCTTTTTATATCAATTTTTATTTACCATGTAATGAAATTTAAAAAAAAACGGTAAAGATAAGCGTAAATTTTTATTTTTCGATATGTTGATATATAAATAATTCCCATTTTTACGCAACGTTTTCGTGGTATTAAAGACTTTTATTTATATTCCAGGTGCAACGAGCACTGGACGGAACGTCGAAAGGAACAGATGACCGCGACCGACGTACAATTCCATTTATTGTATTTTATTTATTTAATCGCCACGACACCCTAGAATAAGGTTCAGACAACCAGGGGCCACCTCACGCAGTCAGCCCATCGGAAGAGTTTTACCAGTGGAGAAACCACTGGGTTTTTACTTCCGGCTGGTATCGTCTTAGGGTCCTCACGAACCCACTAGGGGGGGAGTGATCTGTAGCGTCATACACTTCCCCAAAATCAGTAGCCTAGGGTTTGACGACTTTCGACATCGATGCTGACCTTGATAGTTTAACTGGACTCGCTAAGCTGAAGGCACCCGGTCAAGCATCCTGGCCATTTGGCACGCTGTCGTGTTACGTTGCATTGCTCGTATTCGACTCTCTAGCCAGTTAGTTGGAACGCATCGGTATTTTGGCATAACCATCCAAATATACTATTCCATCCGACTACGCTATCGTGTTCTTCCTTGGTCTCGTATTCGTGGGTATATAACAAGTTCGAATAATTAGTGATTGGTCTTTGCGTCTGTCAAGTTCGCACCAGGACAAATCCTAAAACCCTTTCATCGTCTTTCTAGCCGACATCATCAGCAGTAAGTTCAGTGTGAAGTAAGCTGTCAATATCTCTCCGTGAGCGATTTAGTAGCTTGCCTTGACGAAATGGTCTGTGATTGGTTGTTTCCTTTGGTTGTTGTGTCATTGACAGACTGTAAAGATTTTCCTGTTTGCTGTTCCTCTGCTTCACCTCTGACCTTCCTGTCATTTATCATTTTTCCCATTGGTTGATAAATTGCCTCTATCATGTCGATACATCTGTTGATCGCTGACTGACTGACCTGAATGCCGAGCCTGTAGGAATTCTCTGATATTCATTGTGTTTCCTCTCTCCTTCCAAGATTTCTACATTGTCAAAATTCAATTCATGTTCATAGATATGATGCACGTGCATTGAAATGAACGATGAAATGTCTTGTGTGACGTTTAATAGCCAATTGGTGTTCATGTAGACGAAGGTGAAGAGGGCGACCACTTTGTCCAATATAGTGTTGACTACGGTTATCGCAGGTGATTTTGTAAATGATATTCGGTTTGTCTTTCTTGGCTGTTGCATCCTTTGGTCTGTATAGTAGCGTTTGCAGAAAAGTTGTTGGTTTATGAGCAACACCAATTGCACCAAGTGGTTTCAGTAATCTTGTCGTGATTTCTGATATATTCCTTAAGTAAGTAAGTAATGGATGATGTGTTTATTGACTTCTGTCAATGACTTTGTAGTTGATAATGTACGGGATAGGGATCTTCTGATAAAGTCTCGTGGGTAGCCATTCTTCTTTAGGATTGACATCAAGTAATTTTCTTCGTTCCTCTGTGACGTTCTTGTACTGCAGTATGTTCTCGCTCCTTGGCAGAGAGTATGCAAGCAATTTATCTTGAGGGTTGTTGCTACTGTAGTTGAGGATTTGGTCAGTGTATGTTGGTTTGCTGTACATTTGGGTTTCCACATTTCCGGCATTTCTCCGACTGACTAACAAATCTAGGAATGGTAGTTACTTGCTTGACTCCTTCTCCACTATGAATCTCATGTCATTGCAGGTAATCACCATAAAAACATATTTAATCATGAGAACAGTGTCGTCCACATAGCGAATAAAAATTCAGGAGTGACCACGAGTAGAAAGACAACTTCCAGTATCTGTATCAATGATTCTGCAATTAATTCAGAAAAACCGGAACCCCCGAACATAAAAAACCAAGAAAACCGAAAAGAATAAAACCTAAGCATGGATAATTGTTTCCAGATTTGTAAAGCTAAATGATGAGGCGAATCGACAACCTGGAGAGAAATGATGTCTCATGACAGATTATATCCCACGTCTATGAACGGTGCAGTCAGAGACCTTAACTCCGAGCTATTCAAGCCTCTACTGACCATATACAAGAAAACACAATCTAGCTGATACAGTCATTTTTGATACGCAGCTATTCAGTCTGTAGATCAGCATCCACTGAATCTACTCAATCTGGCTTTCAAAACTAGCATCTTCATGGTAGTGAAGAGAGGCTGACAACTGGAAAGTGTTTGTCGTGCAAAATACACTAGATCGACTTATATCTACACAGGATTTCACATGCCTCTTATACTGACCACTCACTCGACTCATCACAGATCTCAGAATTCAATGCATCTTCTGTTGCCTATCTTCAGTTGCCTATCTCAAGCTGAGTGCATCTGAGGAGTTACTTCAAGAGAAATGAAACATGTGAATAAACTTACCAGATGAAGCAGAATCTCGGGCACCAGATCCATGCTCCACATCCCCAATTGTGCTTCTTTCCTTTGGTAGTGTAGAAGATCCATCTTGCGTTGATTTCGTAGTCATCGCGTCGTCAATTCTCTCCGCTGAACAAACCATTATATTCAAGTAAATATATGAGTGAATTGAGATTAACACAAGTTGACTGCAATACATGCATGCGTCATTCAGACGTGTGAAAAAGGTGGATAGGAATGCAGCAAAGTTTAATCATGATGATGAATTTTGTGCTGCACAGGTTTCTTCTTAGTCTCCATTTCTGTTTCGCCGGTGATCTCTTCTTTTCAACACTCTCACAAAGCTTTCACCTGAAAGCTGTTCTCAATTTATTCCGAAGTCAACGAACATGAAGATGATGTCCTGATTAGTTCTCTCGTAGTTGCCTGTTCACTGCTTAACTGTGAACAGTGGACAGTCAAGAATACAGAATTGCCAGAGGATGTCCAGAGGATGAACGGACTTCACTGTATTCGGTGTCATAATAATATTCTCAAGGCTTTTCAAACCAATTCCTATTTATCTGACTATTTGTTGATTGAGTCACGCAATGGAGGGTGAATGCATTTGATAGTGAATATTGCAAGGCAAATGTTCGCCAGTCAGATTCTGTGTGGATAGTATAGGTGGTGAGAATTGACTTGTTTTCCTAATCGAAATTATAATGATGAGTGTTTTGGGAATAATATCACAGTGAGGAGAATTGTGAATTTGAGGCGTCAATGGCTTCAGACAAAATACAAGATGCCTTTGACTAGAGTGATAAAAATATCCCCGTGTTTTGTCAACGAACACTCAAATATATTGCACACAAAGCTTAGAAGGAAAAAAGGATTTTGGAATTCAACCTACCCTCGATGTTGCGAGTATCTAGAAGTAAATGTTTCTTCGGTGATCTCTCGTAATTTGTTTTGAATATACTATGAAAATCAGTGGGATTTGGGGCAACAACTTGAATTGACAGCTTCACTTCAGTTTCATCAAGTCCAGAATCACTCATCCGGAGAAAATGAATATCAAAACATGGTGAAACGACTCTGAGTGGAGAATCACCAAGCTCTATCACTTCTTTTACCTAAATGTTGGGGAATATAGAAAAGGAAATGTGAACAGAGATACAAAAGTGTGCGAATAAGTAGTACATTTGATGTCCAGTAATCAGTCAACATTGGACGCTTTCATCACATCAGCTAAGTTGACACAGAAGCTTCTCAATTGGAACACTGGCAGATATCATCAACAATCACATGCACATCTCCCATTCATGCTTTGACTAGAAGGTGTGTGGAGACATCATTCAGGTTGACATTGTAATCATAAATGAGTACTTGTAAAATAGTTGTGGATGTGAATTCAGCATTCATCTAATTTTTTTGAAGTAGTAGACACCTATTGCCAGTCTTCTAGTGAGTACAGTGCATGTGAGGTGATTCGAGGTAAATGACAGGAAGCCTTGGATTTAAGGTTCTAGGTTGTCGAAACGTATGAGTAAGGCGTGTTTGCAAACGTGATGGGAAATATGTCCCTCATACACATTAGAACAACCTCACCTGGTTAACTGGTTCACTAGTTACTGGCCGATCCTAAGCCCGGGTAAAGTGTGAAGGTTCGGCGTAGGTCTAGCGACTCACCCCGGTAAAACCAATCTAACCGCTACAGAAACTTCAAAGCACAAACAAAATATAAAAAATCATAACAAAATTATTCCTCGCTGGAATCGGAGAGGCGAAATGACGCCAGTTGGTGAAAGCATTCGGGAAGCCAATTGGCCGACGTGTCTTCTCTTCTCTCGATGAAGGCGAAAGTAACCATAGGGACATGGAATGTCCACACGATGTTTGAACCCAGCAAGGCAGCCCAGATTGCAAAGGAGATGAAGAGGTATCAAATTGAAGTGCTTGGAATTTGCGAAAGCAGATGGAATGGGAGTGGACTCTGCAAACTGTCAACTGCAGTGGAGTCAATAATCTACTCCGATACTGTCACCCAGACGACAACCACGAGCACACTGAGTTATGGAGTGGCTATCATGATGTACCCCTCCCAATGGCATCGAAGGCTCTCATGCAGTGGGAACCAATCTCCTCCAGCATCAGGATCATGACAGCAAGGTTCAACTCGAAGGGAAGGAGGGAAGGGATGAAGGTCACAATCATACAATGCTGCGATATGCACCTACAAATAATGCAGAGCAAGAGAAAAAGGAGGAATTCCACAGACAACTGCAATCAACACTGGACAAGACACCGCCTCAGTTGGCGATATCAAAATTCCAATGGGTGAGGTGACATGAATGCGAAACTGGGAGGGGACAACACAGGCAGAGAACTAACCATGGGTGGAGAAGCGCTCAGTGAGGTGATGAACGAGAATGGAGAATTGTTTGCAGAATTCTGTGCATTCAACGATTTGGTGATTCGAGTGGATCAGTGTGTTCAAGCACAAGGATATCCACAGAGCCAGCGACATTGATTTCACCAGACAACAGGACACACTAGAAATCAAATCGACTCTATCTCAATGTGAAGAAAATGGAGACGCAGTCAGCCTACTTGACACAAGGTGAAGAAGAGGAGCAGATGTAGGTTCAGACCACTCGCTATCGAGTGCAAGGAACCTCCCTTCCAAATGAAGTTAAAAGCCTTCAAGGAAGCTGGTGATAGACCGCAGTTCAAGTACAACACCCAGAACAGAAACTGAAGGATGAAACTACAAAGGAAATCTTCACGTCAGTCAGCCATCAAGACAAAATGGGAGATATCGAGGAAGATCCCTGAAGAAACCTGTGTGGAAGAACACTGGAAGTCTATGAAAGCTGTGTGGAGAGAAACCTGCACAAGCGTATTAGGAAGGGAGAAGAAAGAATGCAAGGACTGGAATGGATCTCAATCGACACATGGAAGCTGATAGAGCAGGGAGAGTAAGGTGGTGATGGTGAAGCAGAAGATAAACCAGTGCAGTGCAAGGATGCTCAATGACAAGAGGAACTGAGTACAATGTATAAAACACTACACTGGACAAAGAAGTGAAGAAGAGTGCACGAAAAGACAAAAGACACTCCTACGAAAGACTGGCAAGTGAAGCAGAACAGGCTGCAGGTAAGAGAGACCTGACAACATTGTATCAAATAACCAGGTTGCCATCTGGGATGGATGAGAGATCAACGCAGACGAAACCAATAAAAGATGATGAAGGGAATTTAATTACCAAAGGAGAGAAACAAAGGAAACAATGGGCCGACCACTTCAAGAAGCTCTTGAATCGACCACCAACACCAGCACCACCAACACCACCACCACCTGAGCTTCGTCCAGAAATACCACCTACAGCCCAGCCGCTGAACTACAAGTGAACATAAATCCTCCAACAAGAATGGCAGTCCTGAACGCCACGCCATGAAGCTACTGAAATGTGGGAAAGCAGCAGGACCGGATGGAATCCCACCAGAAGCACTGAAAACAGACGCAGAGACAACGGCGGACATGCTCACACTACACCACACCAACATTGCAGAAGGTGTGGAAGGAAGAGAAGGTACCTGGCGATTGATTGGAAGAGTGGCTACCTTGTCAAACCCCCGAAGAAGGGAGACCGCAGTGCTTGCAAGAACTGGCGCGGAATCACTCTCCTGTGGACCCAGAGCAAGCAAAATATTAAGCCGCATCATCCTGGAGAGGCTGAGAGATTCGCTGGATTCAAAACTACGACCGGAACAGGCTGGCTAGCTGGCAGGCTGGCTGGCTGTCTGTTTGTCTGTCTATCTGGCTCCCTGGCTGGCTGGCTGGCTAGCTGGATTCAGGAAGTACAAATCATGTGCGTACCAAATTGCAACGTCACGCTTCGCATCATCGTAGAACAGAGTATAGAATGGCAGTCAACTCAACTCTACCTCAACTTCATCGACTTTGAGAAGGCCTTTGACAGCGTCGACCGAGAGGTAATTTGGAAACTGCTTCAATAATACGGAATAATACCACAAACCTTTATCAGCCTCATTCAACAACTATATGAAGATGCCACATGCCAGCCAAGTATTTCACAATGGAAAGCTCAGTGATGCTTTTGAAGTGAATACAGGAGTGAAGCAAGGTTGCCTACTATCCCCATGATATTCCTGATTGTGGTCAACTGGACTGGATCATGCAGCAAACAGTGGGGAGCTGTGAGAAGAGGGGGATACGCTAGCTGGACTGCGGAAAAGAACCTAGAAGATTTGGATTTCGCCAACGATGACTTGTGCCTGATGTCACACAGACTTGAAGATCTACAGGCGAAAACTAACAAATTGGCAGAAGAGGTGAGGCAGCGAAGCAAGACGGGAATTCAGGTGAATACAGAGAAGACAGAGGTGATGAAGATACCGCACCAACAACTTCGACAACAACAACAACAACAACAACAACAACAACAACAACAACAAACTCCAGTCACCATCAACGGAAGAAACTTAAAGGAAGTAACCTCCTTCACCTATCTAGGCAGGCAGGCAGCACTGTTTCAACTACAGGCGGCACAGACGAGGATGTCAATGCAACCAGGATCGGAAACGCGGCAAGACAGGCGTTCATTAGCCTGAAACCAGTGTGGAGATCTTCTGCACTACACTCAGCATTAAGCGTGAACAACATCCGGATTTTCAACACCAACCCAGTCAAGTTTGTGCTTCTGTGTGATGGTTGAGAGACTTGGCAGTGCGTTACGAAAGGGATTTCCAATAAACTACAGACACGCATCATCAACAACTGCCCACACTGGCTGGCTACTGAAGATCAGATGGATTGCCAGAATAACCAGAATAAGCAACAAGGAGCTGTGGGAACGAACCGACCAAGAAGCTATCGTTGAACAAATCTGAGGTAGAAGGAAGTGGAGATGGATTGGGCATACACTGAGAAGGCTGACTGGGGAAAATCACACGTCAGGCCAGGCACTGGAGTGGAATCCCCATGGGAAGCGACGAGTTGGGCGCTCGAGGTGAGAGTGACATGGAGGAGATCGTGCGAGGAGGAAATGAGAGTTTGTGGGCTGTCGTGAAGCCAGGTTGAAAAGATTTCAGAGAACAGAGTTCACTGGAGACGGGCTAGTGAAGCCCTATGTTCCATTAGGAACCCAAGGGAATGATAATAATACATTAGAAAGTTCGCTGCCTAATACTGAGATTAGTCATGTGACCAGTTAGCCATTGAGGCTGCACGGTGGTGGAAGCATACTATCGTTTCACTATTTAATCCACATGATAGAGGGACATTGCAATCAGCAGGGAGAGATCACTGAATCAGAGGGCTGACAATTCGGATATTTGTACTTATGTGAATTGTGAACTCCACTCCATGATACAAAGTTTGGCTCTCTGATGCATAGGTGTACTGCTCACCTCCTAAACAGACGAATTCACATCACACACTTTTGCTGTCTCTCTTCCATTCGTCAGTGTTCACGGTATGCGTGCGTGTGAAAATGTACAGTCTGATAGGTCCTAGGGAAAAGAACAATGAAATGATTAGGCTTTCGACAAATCAAATATTCAAATATGCAGATGGTGAACGGATCTGAAATTTTGTAGAAACGTCAGACAAAATAGTCTCTGCTGTTACATTATGAGGTTACTTACAATCTGAATGACACAATATGCAATTCATATAACTTACCTGGTTGCATATTTCTTTGGCTAACTGTTTGTAAGAACTGCTATTAGAGTCTAAATACTCTAAACTAAATGGCAAAGGTTTCTTTTTCTCTGCATCACATAAAAGACTTCTCAATTTGAAGACATAGGTCGCTATAATGAAAAATAATGACTAACAATTTTCATGTGGAAAATTACTTCTATTTATTTGAAATTAAATCTATTCTCTACCAAGAGTTCATGAAATAAATCGTCACTTCACTGGAACACAATCGTGGTATTCTACTATGAATCTATTGGCGCGTCAATCATCATATCAATCAAATAAGTTGACATAGAAATCGCGTGCTGATAGGTGTCTATCAATTCTGTCCCACAGCATGATTTGAACTGAGAAGAAATCCTTTAGGTGCTTGTCAATCAATCCATCAACTGATGCTAGTAGATTTCTAAACACAAATTTTATGCAGCCACAAATAGTTAGTCATCAATGAAATGAAATTACAACACATCTTCTAAAGAACCGGTTGTCATGCACAACTGTTTCAGTTACATTTGATTTCATTTAGGAAATGTCATTGCCTTGAGTAAATAGGCTATCAAGTGTACAAGGTTCTCTCTGTCAATCAGTGTCCTCAGAGTTATCCTCACGTTGACTGATTCAGTCAAGAACAACATGAGTGAGTCGCATAAATTTAACTTGAGATTCTTGTGTCTAGTGACAAGGAACAGTTACTGGATAATATGAGAATATTTTTCAGTTGTTGAGGTGGGCACCGTTTATGTGGATTTGGTCATTTCGGCTCTGTCCTGCAATCCACCGTGGCACAGAGATCGGATACTGAAAGGGGAAATGGTTACCTTCACAGTATTCGATTGGAACCGACACAAATCTGTACAGTGAATGTGTAACACAAGACGTGAAACACTCATTCTGTTAGATGGTTGCAGGCGATCAGTAGAAACGTGTCAATCTTTGTTTTGTGAATAGTGAGGCTCAACGATGAGGCGAATCGACAACCTGGAGAGAAATGATGTCTCATGACAGATTATATCCCACGTCTATGAACGGTGCAGTCAGAGACCTTAACTCCGAGCTATTCAAGCCTCTACTGACCATATACAAGAAAACACAATCTAGCTGATACAGTCATTTTGATACGCAGCTATTCAGTCTGTAGATCAGCATCCACTGAATCTACTCAATCTGGCTTTCAAAACTAGCATCTTCATGGTAGTGAAGAGAGGCTGACAACTGGAAAGTGTTTGTCGTGCAAAATACACTAGATCGACTTATATCTACACAGGATTTCACATGCCTCTTATACTGACCACTCACTCGACTCATCACAGATCTCAGAATTCAATGCATCTTCTGTTGCCTATCTTCAGTTGCCTATCTCAAGCTGAGTGCATCTGAGGAGTTACTTCAAGAGAAATGAAACATGTGAATAAACTTACCAGATGAAGCAGAATCTCGGGCACCAGATCCATGCTCCACATCCCCAATTGTGCTTCTTTCCTTTGGTAGTGTAGAAGATCCATCTTGCGTTGATTTCGTAGTCATCGCGTCGTCAATTCTCTCCGCTGAACAAACCATTATATTCAAGTAAATATATGAGTGAATTGAGATTAACACAAGTTGACTGCAATACATGCATGCGTCATTCAGACGTGTGAAAAAGGTGGATAGGAATGCAGCAAAGTTTAATCATGATGATGAATTTTGTGCTGCACAGGTTTCTTCTTAGTCTCCATTTCTGTTTCGCCGGTGATCTCTTCTTTTCAACACTCTCACAAAGCTTTCACCTGAAAGCTGTTCTCAATTTATTCCGAAGTCAACGAACATGAAGATGATGTCCTGATTAGTTCTCTCGTAGTTGCCTGTTCACTGCTTAACTGTGAACAGTGGACAGTCAAGAATACAGAATTGCCAGAGGATGTCCAGAGGATGAACGGACTTCACTGTATTCGGTGTCATAATAATATTCTCAAGGCTTTTCAAACCAATTCCTATTTATCTGACTATTTGTTGATTGAGTCACGCAATGGAGGGTGAATGCATTTGATAGTGAATATTGCAAGGCAAATGTTCGCCAGTCAGATTCTGTGTGGATAGTATAGGTGGTGAGAATTGACTTGTTTTCCTAATCGAAATTATAATGATGAGTGTTTTTGGATTCGTATCACAGGGAGAGAAATTTTTAATTTTGTGGTTTTGGGGCCCTGTTTGCTTCTCTCCTTGGCGTTTAATTTTTGTACTGCACCTCGTCAACTATAGTGGCTTCACTTTTCCTGTTTTGGCGAAGCAGGTTTTGTTTTTTTTTGGATATTAGGGCAGTTCAATTCCTTTGAGTGGAATTTTGCTGGCTAGTCTTATTTCTTATTTTGTTTTATTTCTTTGCATTTCATTTGTCTGAAGAATTAACGCAGGGTCTTTAATTTGCCGCAATTATGGATTGATTCTTCCAACGTCGATTTATGATTTTATTTTATGTCATCGGAGGAACTCAAAGGAGGTTTGCTCATTGTATTTTGAAGTGGACTCCTAAACATATTCTATATATTTTCAATGTGACGTACAAAACGTCTGTGTGAAATTTCGTTTTCATTGGTGAACTTGATTGAATATAGATTAATGATGTAAGTAGTGATCAGCCATCACTCAAGATTATAAATATTTCAAATAACTGTGACTTGTTATCTGTTGACTTACCTCCCAACACTTTCGTAACCGAAGGCTCCTGCTCATGTGAGCTGATTACGAGCATGTGAAGTATGGATGGGATAATCAGTGAAAACTTCATTCTGTTGTATGATGAATGCTACAACTGAAAGGAGAATATTCGAGTGAGTTACAAGCAACTCTCTAACAAATGACAAAGACAGTGTGGGCCGAAACATCTCCATCTATTTGAAGTGTGTGACACATTTCGTTGATATTCGCTATCATCATCTGCTTCAACACATCTCTGGGAAATATCTATTCTCTCAAGTGATGCTTGATTTTGGGTGGAATAGCCAACGTCAAGTGACTGCTATCTTGCTTCACTCATTGACTCACATTAACCACGCAATACGTTTTATGGTGTGCTGTCTGTTCACCGCTAAATTCGAGGTGATCATCCACAAAGCCCACACAGGAAAAGAATGGAGTGAAGATTCACATCGAAACAAATGTAAATCAACAAATTGAGCGAAGAAGTAGTTTGCTTCATTCACTTCATTATCATTGGCTTCATGCCAAGATAAGAATATCACCATTTCCTGATCACATTAATTTTGGCCTAGTGTAATGAATGACATGAGAAACGACTACAATATCGTGATGTTGTGTATCAAGAGTGAATTGAAAAGAAATATTTTCTAGCCTACTTTCCCGGTTTCCAATATCGATAGAAAGGTCAGTAAATGTGCAGGTTAAACAACAAGACGTGTATCGTCGTAATGAGCGACCCTTATTCATTTAATGAACATAATCTGATGCATGATCATTGCATCAGATTATTCATACTGCATCGGCACATATATCACTCCAGCTTCCAAATGATCTCCATCAGCAGAACACTGTGCATTATTCGACACGCACAGACTTCACAACCATCACTCATTTCCCGTTTCACAAATACTCACCAAATTCACAACGTTTGAATGAGGATGGTATATAGGTGCATTCAACGAGTATATTCGAAAATATGATGATACTCTTCAATCCACTGACTATATTCAAATGTCATGCAGTCGAATCTACACAAACACTGAAATTGAAAACAACTTTGCCGAAACTGTCACCTATCCACCTTCTGAGTAGTGCAGAAGTAAATGACATATGCATGGAGAAAATATGACTATGTGTATAAACGAAAATATTCAACTTTTCCTGATGTCTTCGACTCCTTTCTCCATCCTTATCTCTCTTTCTTTTTCTATTGCTCACAGTTTTGACCTGTTCTATTTCATAGTTTAATAACCTCACAACATTTCCATTGTATTGTCATGGCACTCGTGATCACACTTTGTTTCGAAAATTACTTCTGAATATTATACAACTCTGCGGTTGGGCCGGATATTTAATATACATCTCACATCCCTATGATCACCTCAACGCGTCTGGTGAGCACTGCCAATCAATGTCAGTGGTCTAGAACTGCTTATGTCAATTAGTAGTACATTATGTGCACGTTTGCATCTCACTTGTGATCTTCGACCTTCATTTGACCAGAATTACGACAGTGGATTCAAATAATTTGCGCTATTAAGTAAGCAATCTATTGGAAGGAAACGTATAAAATTATCGTTGCACAGCTGAACAGAATGAAGTCGACCGAAAAGGAGTCTATGCTCAACTGTTCAATTTTTCTCAAGTCCCACAAGGGTATTTTCGGCAATATAACTAATTCACACAACCATCCATGCATCGATGTCTTACACAATTACCGTCAAGATATTATGAAAGGCTTACTCTTCTATGAATAGGCACTTTGCATAATAATATGCCAACCAGGATTTGCCAATAAATCAACACAATAAAATAGTAGATATCACACTGCTTTCACAAGTCCTGCTTGCTCAGCCTCTGGTCTTCATTACAAGCATCATATATTTCAGTTTCAGAAAGACTGAGTTTCTCATCCACTTTAAGAGATATTGCTTGATGATTCCCACTGGTCTGGAACTGATTAGTCTGATCAAAATATCATTCCTCAGTGCGAAGAACATTTCAGTGGTTAAAACAGTGTACATCTCTGCCTATCGCTGTTATATTGTCTATTCTGCGAAATAACTAGCGTCAGTCTTCTACAAATGTTTATGGCATAATCCGAATTCAATGGAGATAGACTGCTGCAAAGAAAATGAATCTAAGTTCACTCCACGTTAACTTGCTTTATCAGTCATGCTGTGCTCATGTATGTGCCGATTCAATATAGATCATGGAGAGGATGAAACTAGACTGGCCACATAAAACGCCTTGTATTTGACAGACATCGAACCGAATATCGTGTGGATAACAAGACATCCTGGGACACAATGAAATGATTGTTTCTTATCACTTGGCATTTATGTTGGTATTCGCATACTACACTGAAATAACCCATTACAGTCTGAGAACCACATTTATATATACCACCAGTGTCCGTAATATTACTACTAATAAGCACTCTCCATACCAAAAGGAGACAAATATGAAAGCTTCACAAATGAGTATTTCACCACTCCCACAGATCTACCTCACTTACCAACCAAGTCATTGACTTAGCGGACAATTTATTTTATTTGACCACTGTATTCATTACACTCAGTCCCCAAACTTACATGTTTCTTCTGACACTGGTTCTCGCACAAGACACTTTCATTTCACATACACAGTTGATGTATAGTTCAGCAGGTAGCACAAAAATAACTGACGTCGAAATGTTAGTCATCGGAAATGCTTTGAAGTCAACTTGACGACTGTGACAACATACACAGTGAACGGATATTGTACAAAGTTATGTATTTCTCAGTGAAAGCCTAGCACAATGATTCTTTCCAACAACCTGTCGTGACAGATTCAGCTGAAACCTATCACCAATAACAGTGGTTACTGCCAATCCGACTATTCATCATTCACTTGCAAGTTACATTTGAACTTAAAGTACTGAATAGGTGATAGAGGTTCTAAGCCTCTCTTTAGCCAGTTTGAATGGCATCAAATAGTAGTAAGAATTGATGAGTGTTGAAATCATTGTCTCAGCACTGTCATTACAAACCGATTTATTCAACGATTCTCGTTTGGGTGGGCTTGTATGCTGAATTGGAAAGCTGACAAAGCATCAGTTAATGCATCGCAGTTTATAATTTCAACTACATGCAGCTTTTCACTGACATTGGAATAGAGAATGAAAATCATTCTTTACTCATGCATGTTTATCATGATGTGGAAAGTGTTTTATGTAGGAAGAAACATTGAAGTGGATCTACTAACAGTGTCATCTACATTACTCACAACATGATCATTTTGAGAATACAAATGCAATACACAAATCACAGTCACAATATATAAATATGTTTGCAATAGTCATTGAAGAGAAGTTCAAACACCACTTACTTAAGGCAGATGAGTATGTTCCTTTGGATACAATTATTTCTTCAATATTACAGCCATGAAATGCTTTCACTTATATACACTTTGGAACAATTTTCAGTGACTAAACAACCAATACAATAGTGTAGTATATGCATGCGTGTGGTGGATGAATTTGATTGGAAATTATGAAATGATGAAAATTATGTTTCTCATTAGCGTCATTTGGAAGTGGGTTGAATGTTTGTGTGCTTTAATATACACTGATACGTGATCATATCGGTTGTAGATCATCTGAAACGATTTCATATTGCTAAGATTATGAGGAATAATTAATGCTTGAATCCTCGTCAGGTGAATAATATTGTATCATTTTGTGTTATAAATCAAATAAACACATCTAATATGAAATTGCAATTTAACAGAGTGGACAAGTTTTCACTCTCGATAATTTTATTGTGGTGTTTACGAATTTCCTGGAAAGGCATTCACAACTGGCGATTTTACCCGACAAACACAAGTTGATTCCAAACTGC